ATGAAGCTGCAGGGTTAGAGGGATGTCCATGATCTCGTGTAGGGTCTTAAAACGTCAGTAAGGTTTATCTCTTTGATATACACAGCGCTCCAGAGTCAAGTTTAAGTTAGTCAAGTGAAGAAAACCCTTTCCTTTTTCCATACCGAATTTCCAGAGATTGTCAAAAGCGCTTGGTTTGGATTTCTAAGGATATGATAACCTTCTTGACGGTCAGCAATTCCTAAGAACGATAGATATAAGCATACTTTCCAAAGAGACAAATTCGGAATCTACGAAACATCAAGAGTCATATTTTCCTCCAGCAGGTTTATTTGATTGCACAAAGCTCTAATTTGGCATAGAACGCCAAACCAGATTGTAATATTCCGACATATCATCTCTTATGAATGTTCCTCCACATTGTGATATCGTGACAACAGCATATTCTTTGACATGACAAATTAAATTTGGGAGGTATTCGAGTATAATAGCAGAATTCCTAGATACACGCATTCCAAGAATATGTTAGCCGACATTGTCGAGAATGGAAATACAACGTGAATTTTGGAGTAACTGAAATTAAATATGTCTATTGTAATCGAATCTCTTAACGAATTTAGAATATGAAACTCCCTGACAAGCTCTTTGAGAGTGCAGTCCTATCGTTAGGAATTGCAATTTGTGAAAGCATTTGAGCTGAAATTGTTAGATAGTAACCAAAAAACGTTATATGGTTTGTTTTTCTAGGCATAGACACCTGGAATGTCCCTCAACTTTAGTACAAGATTGACAAGTAACGATACTGTGTCCGATGACACTGTAGACACTGTTGCTTTCTTGCAAACCTTTGAATGTAATGGTCACTATTCTCTGGGAACTCTTCGAGTAGGGTTTCATAATAACAGCAGTAGTGCAGTAGTTTTTGAGGGGCTATAACAGAGATGGTTCACCTTATACAGGGTGATTCAAAAGTACTTTGGACAAACTTCAGGAGGTGATTCCTCACAATATTCTAATATGAATTGTCCAAATAAATAAATGTCCGGAAACGCTTCGTTTCCAAGATACAGAATGTTGAAGTTTCATTTTTATTTTCGTTTTTTTCAAATAACTTTTGAAATACTGAACTTAATTGAACGAAACTTGGTAATAGGAGGTTTTTGAGGTGTCGAATTCGAACCTAAAGTTCGTATTGCTCTTACTTGTAGGGGGCGCCACCTTCACGTCTTTTTCTTTTTTAAAGATTCATAACTTTTTTGGGCGTACTTCTAGCACATTTTTCAGTAAAAAAATCGATTCCTCTATCATATCTGCGTAAATAAGCTACCCTTGTTACTAGTCGCTGTAAGCAACCGTTTTCTAAATATTTGGACTTGAAAACGTCAAGTCAATTATTTGATAATCGATGCATGTTGAAGTTATTACGAATATTTTGCATTTTTTACAAGGATGCTTTGGAAATAAATTTGACGTTTGTGAGTAGTTTTGTCAAAATTTCCTGAAATAAAATGTTGACATTTCTTGCAAATTTTATTAAAACAAATACTGATTATGCACCCTTGATACAAAAATAACTATTTCGCTTAAGGATGTCATAAAGGAACGTACCCAACAGTAATGACCTCTTCAAACGAGTAAAACGTCAAATTCATTTCCAAAGCATTTTTGTGAAAAAAGCAAAATATTCGTAATAACTTCAACATGCATCGATTATCAAATAATCGACTTGAAGTTTTCAAGTCCAAATATTTAGAAAACGGTTGCTTACAGCGACTAGTAACAAGGGCAGCTTATTTACGTAGATATGATAGAGGAATCGATTGTTTTACTGAAAATGTGCGAGAAGTACGCCAAAAAAAGTTATGAATCTTTAAAAAAGAAAAAGACGTGTAGATGGCGCCCCCTACAAGTAAGAGCAATAGGAACATCAGGTTCGAATTCGATACCTCAAAAACCTCCTATTACCAAGTTTCGTTTGATTAAGTTCAGTAATTCAAAAGTTATTTGAAAAAAACAAAAATAAAAATAAAACTTCAACATCATGTATCTTGGAAACGAAGCGTTTCCGGACATTTATTTATTTGGACAATTCATATTAGAATATCGTGAGGAATCACCTCCTGAAGTTTGTCATCCTATTACCAAGTTTCGTTTAATTAGGTTCAGTATTTCAAAAGTTATTTGAAAAAAACGAAAATAAAAATAAAACTTCAACATCCTGTATCTTGGAAACGAAGCGTTTCCGGACATTTATTCATTTGGACAATTCATATTAGAATATTGTGAGGAATCACCTCCTGAAGTTTGTCAAAGTACTTTTGAATCACCCTGTATACTCGTATATACTATAATCTTGTAGATAAAAATGATCTACTGAATTGAGCAAGGAATCGCTGGAGGAAACAAAAATGGCACGCTTTTCTCTTCAGTCTATGATTCAGAATGGCTCTTTCCAATAATACTCTCAATTTTTAAGAGGCCCAAAAGGGGGTGGGAGGTTTGCCAGTTCGATGTTCATGGAAAGGAATCATAGTATTCCAATATTTCTTCAAAAGTCTGACTATAGAAAAGAGACAAATCTCAAACGTTTCTTCGATGTTCCAGACAATCAAGGTAGCGTCTCCAATCAGGCGGATGGCCTGGATAGAATCCAGCAGCTTCAGGGTATGTTTAGGGGCGGAGCTTCATACATGTAGACAGTACTACAAACAGCGTCTGATCTGAGCTTCATAAAGCATCAAAAGTTGCACAGTTTTCTAGTTCGAAACAGTGTTCCAAGCTTCAGATGAGTAGTGAAAATACTTCATTCCCAAGGAAGTAATGACAGCATTTCTTCTCTAGGAAGGCAGAAAAGTACTTTCTCCTCTAGGAAGAGGAAAGTACTTTCTCTTTTAGGAAGGGAGGAAAGTACTTTTCTCACAAGGATGTACTTTCCTCACTAGGAAGTAGAAAGTAAAGGAGAGAAAGAAAAGTACTTTTCCTTCCTAGGAGAGGGAGTATGAATTTCCTTCCTGATGGGAGGGGGAAAATTGTTTACTCCTCTGCTATTTTGGATTTCAAATGTAGTTGTGGGGCGTTTCCATTTTTCATTCCAATGAAGTCATTCCAATGTGGCATTCAATGGAGCTCGTGTAGAAGTTGGGAGACACATAGAAAATACAAAGTGTTCAAGAAATTATAAAAACAATTCCAATTCAATAGATTCACAAGTTTCATCATTAACAACATACTTGACATGTGGAAGTTGGGAGACACCGTAATCAACCCTGATGAATGAGGTTAATGAGAGTTACAGGAGAAAACTTGGTTCTCCTGAAATAAATGAGAGTAGTTCTATATACTGCTTTAGATGCAGATTCTTTCAACACTTCAAAGAAATCAAAACCAGTTCCGGCGCCTGACGTTTCTCCAAAGGTCCATGACAGTTATATTATTCAATTGAGCCTACATACAACTCCCAAATCCAAATTTGTATCCAGGAATTCGATATGTGTCTCAGTGAAATCTGTTCGCCATGTTGTTCCTCTCGCTGACGAGAGCTTTGATGACATCCATCCACGACATCTAATATAAATTTGATGAACTTCCCGTTAATGTCTTCCGTCGCATCTCAAGAGATCGTGAACAATGTAGATATGGATTCGCGACATTCGTGTATGAAATACCTCTTCGCGAAGCACAAAAATCGAATGAGAGTGCCGGAAAATACAAATGGCAATAACGGAGTGAATTCCAAAGGCGCATTTGCGTTTTATATCTTTCTCGAGGCACCAGATTTCACAGCGTGATTTGTGTAACTTTTCCGAATGTCTGTTTCGCCGGAAGAGAATGGTCCAGTAGAATCCGTTTTATCCATTCAATAATCGATTGAAGTGAGACGAAGATAGTTTGCAAATGAAACTTTGTGAGGAAGAGTATTGTATGTGAATTCCTGAATAGTTCTGTTGATCATGAAAACAATATTCAGTGAAACAATCCCCCGAAAAATAATCCTACCTACGCCTCTGCGTCATTCCTAACCGAAATATACATATAATGTCAGGAGCAGAACATTCAGATTACGCTTTGCCAAGCCATTTCTTCATATTCTGTACATGGTATTACGTGGGCTTTACTTTCTCTTGAGTCGAAATGGCTCGTGACATCCAAGCGGATTTTGCGAAAAATGACATCCGACTTTCCATTTTATACTCAAGCAAGCTTTACGAATGTGAATGGAAAATATTTCCGGTCCTGCAAGGGTCAAGCTTTGAAAAACGAAGGGCATTTCCAATTGACAGGGTCGTAGAGACCCAGAATGGAAATGGTTGAGAGCTATATTTGAATCAAATACATTCCTTGGTAAGATTTCTATTTGTTTTTCACCTCCAAATATGCGTGGATGAAAATGATTTTTTCATTAAATTTCCTCTCAACATTGACTGTGGTAGAAGTTGAAGAAAAATTCAATTCAAGTAAGTAACTTTGAATCAACTCGGTGAATCATCTCTGAATTACTAACATCTATTATAGACAAGAATATGTTTGTGAATTGAATAAATTGATTGATTGATTAATTGATGTCAATAAACTACCAGAATAGATGTGATGCACCGTTTAGAATCCTTAGTGTAGTTAATTAACCGTTAATAAAGCGTTATTTTCAACACCTCGACACGCGTGTCGATCATCAAGTGATCATTTTCAAGAGATTGATCACACTGATTCACCAGAACACATGTAATGGACTGTTTGGAACCTTTGGTTGTTCTTGTTCAATCTTTCTTTTGAAGGTGATCACTTGGTGGTTGAAAAACGTTTCAAAGTGTTAAAAATAACGATTTGGTTTCGGAAAGGAACATCAGAAATATTCAGAACACAGTTTCACACTTTTACCAGTGCCTCAATAGCCCCCCCACCACTGAAAGGGGCAGATTCGAGAACATAGTGAAGAATGCTTCCATAGAACAACATTTTCTATTCCAAACCAGAAGTAAATCAACGAAACCTAACCTAAATCTAACTCTCTTTCTTTGTTTCAGTTTCAATACCTCGTAGAATCATCAAGGCTAGCCAATCTAACTCTCTCCTACAAGCAAGTGACGGTATTTGCTCCAACCAACGCAGCTTTCCAGGAATTCGAGCAGATCAACAAGGAAGATTCAGAATCCATGGTTCTGTATCATATGAGTGAGTACATCATTATATCTGACACAAAAATCATTTGTTTCATTCCATCAGATGGGAAGATTGTGGTTCTGCTCAATTGGTTTGACATGCATTCAAAACTTCGTTTCAAAATCCACGTCAATACTTGTCAAATGACCACTTAGACAAGAGAAATATGATGAAAGTGAGACATGAACGTTCACTGAAAGATCAACATAACACCTGCACCTCTATCTGACTGTGTTTCTGATCCATCAGTTGTTTGCTTTAAGTATTTTCCCATCCCAGAAGATACATTCCTCTCTGTTCGGGATTAGGTCTAGAAGGCCTTCCAAAATTCCCTTAGCTCGAAAATGGGACCCCTGGTGTCAACCTTGATTAAATTCCTCTAAACAAGTCAATCTCTGTCCCAATGAGTTTCCTCCATTCAACGACGGCAAACAGAAGATGATAATGATTAATGGTGATACTTCGGAAATGCGAAGTCTTGATGTTTTTGTCTTGTTGCTCTCCCCATTAATATACCTGATCTTTATTCTCTCCACTCCTTGATAAATGGTGGAACAATTCAGTTCGGAAAGTTTCTTATGTCTCGTAACTAGCTTTTTGGTACGAAAACCTTAACTATAGTAATGTGAAATTAGTTATTTCTTTCGATGTGTTGGTATGATTTTTTATTTGGAAATTGGACTAAACAATCCGAACTAACTTGGAAAATAATTACTTTGCACGCTCCAGCAACATTGATTCATTCAGTATTCCCTCAATTACATAAAGGTGAAACCCTCCTGAGCTATAACTAACTTTCCCCAATCCACGTTCAACACACTCTTTGTTCCTCTTCCCGAATACGGGCATGACAAAAACATCCAATTTCTGCTACATCTCAACGTCCCGGATAAGAGTAATAAATTAACTCGCCTATAAAGACTGAGACACATTTAATTTACAATGATCAGATACACTTAAGCGAGTACTTGTTCTATGCAAAATTCTTGGGACAAGGAACATATATAACGGCATAAAGTTTCTTGCCAGGCAAATCGGTCTCGTAGGATTCAATTGTTTCACGGAGTTACAAGATATCGAAGAGGAACTGCTTCGGATTTAGGTGTCTGGTAGGCTATTATTCTTCCATGAATTGATTTTTTCCACTGGTGCTGGATAAACCTGAGAAAACTGGACTCTCTTCTCCGATTTTTCGAATGATTGTAGATGTGTAGATGCTAATGACGAATCGATGATTCACTGTCACTTTTGAAGCTCATTAAGGCTTTTTTACCTAAGTTTGTAATGAATTTAATTACCTGAGCTTATGTTCCATTTTCCACATTTGAAAAAATATTCAGTTACGGAGAGTTATTTAATTCCAATTGATCATTCACTAAATTACCCGAATTCCTGAATCTATTGATTTCTAAATATTCTAGAAGATTGAGTTTCAAACTCTTCTCTTCTAAATGTAATACACCGTATTCCTGATTGAACTCATGTCCTTCTGCTAATAGGTGGTTTGCAAATGTGGAATTCGTCTTTCTATTCATAAAACTGCCTCTATGCTCTTTAATTCTCTGGAAAAATGTTCTTCCAGTTTGGCCAATATACAGTTTTGGACAAGAGCCACAAGTCAGCTTATATACTCCTGATCTATCCAACAACGAAGTTTTGTCTTTATTGTTTTTAATAAATTTACTTAGATTATCATTCGTTCTGTAAGCCACGTTTGGAAGAACCTTTGTTTTATATTTGAAACTTCTCTCTCGGACAGAATAGTTTTTCATCAATTTGCACCATATACCATTTTAACGCCTAATTGGCTGGAGGTCTTTGCTTTCCTCTTTTTGATGACAAGGGGGTTAAGATGGTGATAACGTCAGCAGTTGTTGTTTACTTCTTCATACAAATGGCAACCCACATACTGTATATGTTTGAAAAATGCATATAACAATGTTTACGTAAGCATGGGAGGGGGATAAGAGCTTTGCTTACTTTTGCTGACAAGGGGGATGTGGAAGTAAATAATCGTTATAACTATCCTTACGAAATTTCTGCCCCTAAACACAAATCTTCTGAAATGTGACTCAAATTACAGATCATTTACTGAGCTACCTGAATTGAATTATTGAATGAATGGATGAATGAAAAATACATATAACAATGTTTACGAAAGCATGGGAGGGGGGAGAGCTTTGCTTACTTTTGCTGACAATGGGGTGGTGGGGGGTAGGTAATTGTATTAACTATGCTTACGAAATAATTGCCCCTAAACACAAATTTCCTGAAATATAACTAAAAGTACAGATCATTTGCTGAGCTATCTGAATTGAATTATTGAATGAATGGATGAATGAAAAATACATATAACAATGTTTACGAAAGCATGGGAGGGGGAGAGCTTTGCTTACTTTTCCTGACAATGGGGTGGTGGGGGTAGGTAATTGTATTAACTATGCTTACGAAATAATTGCCCCTAAACACAAATTTCCTGAAATATAACTCAAAGTATTGAATATCAACATAATCCAGAAGAAATCAAAATAGACTAGCACGGCATTTGTATTCTGATTTTATAAATAATAAATAAACACGTGAGTTAAGAAAATATACAGCTATACATAATAACTGCAGTGCGTTACAAAATCTACATCCTGATTTTCTTAACAAAAACAAAATTATATATTTTGTTCGAATCTATACTTAGAAATGCGAAATAAACTCACTTAAAACTCATTCATCACTGTTTCTCAGTACTGGTAAGTCCTAGGAAGCTAAAATTTGGTACATAGGTACTTCTTAAGTCTTAGATGCGGTAAGAGAAAAATTCCAAATACTCCAACTGGGGAGCTCTCCGTGGGGAGAGAAGGGGGCGGTTACATATGAAAATAACATTTTCATCTCTGTTTCTCTGTACCGCTATATTTTCGGAGGCTGAAATTCAGTGTGTAGGTTCGTTTTACGTTATAGATGTGGAATAAGAAATGATTTTCAAATATTTCACACATCTTGTCAAACAGGTTAATTTTTGTGTAGTCAAAACTTCGAATTGATGACTCATCACCCGTACAGTCCTGATTTGGCACCCAATGACTTTTTGTTCCGAATATCGAAGGTAAACTGCGTGGTCAACGATTTACGAGCACCGCAAAAGTAGTTGAAGCGTTCAAAAACCATCTTTTGTAGGTGTGTCAAGAGGAATGGAAAACGCGCTTTGACAAATAGACCACAAAATTATCTATCCAGCAGTATACACTAACCACAACACAGTAAAATAAATATTCATTGGGATATGGAGCTACAAAAACACATGAGATTGGAACAGACAAAACTTTTCTAAGAACCCAATAAGAACTCACGAAACACCAAGCAGATCTCTGGCATCAGATTTCATAATCAATAAGTTATACAGCAAGTTCTTACCAGCTCTTTCAACGTTTTTTGTTGCATTCAACATAAGAGCACCTTTCTGAAGCAATCTGGAAATTCTCTCTATGTTCAGTTGAAAATTAATATCCGAAACTCCTCTTGGGCATCTCCTTTCAGAAGAGCATTAATTCATTTCATCCACGTTTCCTTTTCCTGCGAGTATGATATTTCTCTCTGGAAAAATATATCATTGCGAAATAAATAAGTTCTCCTCCAAAAGGAAGCGATACTAATAAAAGTTGTATATGAATCAACAGATTGCAGAGTCAGTTTTCTTTCAAAGGAGTACGATTTACTGGAAGTATATGAGATTTCAGAGTTTTCACCTCAAACTTGGAATGATTAGTTTGCGTTTTAAAAGTAGCACAAAAAAATCCTCGGGATGGAAATTCAAACTTCCAACAAAGAACATTAATTAATTTCCCAAGGACCCAATTCTTCTATAGTAGCCTTGTTATCAATTTAGAACACAATAGTCCTATTTCAATCGCTGCAACCTGGAAGAAATAATTCAAAAGCTTGATTAGGAGACAATTGTTGAGGCAATTAGAAACTTTTGTAGCAATTCCACTCGAGAACTCTTCGAAGATTATGGGAATTTGAGCTGGAATAGAACAAAGCGAGCACAGAAAAATTAATTATATTGCGAGAAGTTAATAGAATAAGAGGATTAGCTGGAAAATACGCAGACAGCGTGGACATTTATCAGTGAACGAATTATCTGAAAGCGGATGCTGAAAGCATACTTATATTTTCTATCTCTCACATTCTACGATTTTTATGGGAACAGTTGATAGCTTGAAACGAGCAAAAAAACAATCTCCACACAAGAAGAATGACAGAGCAGGAAAATCAAATTTTTGCTGTGACTCAAATCATAAATATTAACAGAAGCCAAGAGATAAATTAATTTCCTGAATCCTCCTTCATGTTCACATTCTCGTTTAAAGACACTCCTTTTAATGAAGCCCAAAAAGTCAAGAGAGTTCAGACCCGGCGAACGAGGAGGCCGAAAAATTCTTCCTCCCCTTCCGAAACATAGGTGATAGGAGAATTGTCGTACTTGGAAATGTAAATGGGTTAGAGCACCATCTAACTGATACTACACATTTCTGTGTACGTTTAAAGGTGTTCTTCAAATAAATTTTTCGTGAAGGACTCAACGTACAGCACAGTTTATTAACTGGAAAACAGTATGAAATAAGTTTAAAGGTACTTCCAGCAAGGTCGTTAAATCCATGCCAATTGCGATGATAATACACTCACATTTTTCAGAATACAGCATATGAATTACACAACATTCAAGGTAAGGACCTGGCATCAATTCAGGTCACATCTTAGCTTCTATTTTTGCTTCAGAGGCCTTTCTAAGCTACCTCTCTTGTTACTTCGTTACTCTCTAGGAGTAGAAAACTCCGACCCGCTCCTACGGCCCACAAGACACACAGAACTAACACTGCTGGAGCAAGCTTACTGCACCGGCTGGACCCATTTACATATTATTTCATTGTGACAGATGCTGATCACGTCACTGCAAAGAGATCAATCATTTGGATGAAATCATTTCATCAAATCTTTTACTAACCATCCGTATACTT